TATGTGCCCTGACTAGGGATCGAACCCACAACCTTGGCATATCAGAACGATGCTGTAACCAACAGTTACCAGGCCAGGGCTCTAACATATTTTTTTTTTTCTGTCTGCACTCCCTCTGTCATGCCCCACTTAGGAAATCTTAAGGTGTATTCCAACAATCCTCAATAAAGTAACCTCCAAATATAAATGTTAGCTCACTGGCATAAGTTTAAATTCTGGGGTAAAGAGCAATCATGGTTCTCTATGCCAATGCTAAATGTACTCAAGTCTGAAATAAATTCCACTTGTTAAGAAAGAGAATTACTTAAATGTTAGTGGAAAAACTTTATAGAATGAAGCTTAGAGCTATAAGGATCTCCTTTTAAAAGACAAAAAACTGAAGCCCCAATTATTTAAGCTCACAAGCAGCTGAACTGGTGCTAATTCCCAGATCTCTGGCTCCCAACAGTACTTTTTATTTTTTTAGTGATATACTAGAGGCCCAGTGCATGAAATCTGTGCACTGGTACGGTCTCTAGCAGCTGCTGGCTGGGGTCTCCCTCCCTTCTTCTGGCCAGCCCGCCCCCTGGTCGAACTCCCAGAAGAACTCCGGTTGAGGGGACAATTTGCATGCTATGCTTTTATTATATAGAATTTGTACTGATTTCAGAGAGAAGGGGAGAGATAGAAAAATCAATGATGAGAGAGAATCATTGATCTGCTGCCTCCTGCACGCCCAGTCCTGGGGATTGAGTCCGCAACACGGGCATGTGCCCTGACTGGGAATCAGATGGTGACCTCCTGGTTCAAAGGTGAACGCTCAACACTGAGCCACACCAGCTGGGCCCAACAAATGCACTTTCTAGGACACCTCCAGAGCTCCCGCTAATTGCTTCTTTGACTCTCTCTAAAACCAGAAAACACTGTCCAAGTACTTCCTGCTCCTTAGGGGAAACTGAATTGCTGGTTAATATGCAACTAGCAAATCATTGTTTGAGAAGCCAGCATTTAACCTTTTGCCACTAATTAAACTTAAATTTGTGATATTTAAACACAACTTCCTTTATCAGTAGTCCTTATATCTGTGAATAAAAAGGTAGCTTTGTTTTTGCAGACCAGGAAACATCCTTAAAAATGAATTAAGTTCTTTATATTGTTATTTTGGGGGCACTTGATATATTATGATATAGCAAAATCTGTAAGCAGTGGTTGCCAGAGAGGAAGAGGATAAAGGAGGACAATATATGGTGATGCAAGGAGACTAGACTTCGAGTGATGAGCACATAAACGAGTCCACAGATGTCATATTAAAAAGTGGTACACCTGCCACAGCCAGGTAGCTCAGTTGGATGGAGCACCATCCGGATGCGCCCAGATTTCGGGTTTGATCTCTGGTCAGGGCACATATAAGAAGCAACCAATGAATGTAGCAATAAGTGAAACAACAAATCAATGTCTTTCTCTCTCCCCCTTCCTCTCTCTTAAAAAAAAGAAAAATCGCCCTAGCTGGCTTCGCTCAGTGGATGGAGCATCGGCCTGCGGACTGAAGGGTCCCAGGTTCGATTCCGGCCAAGGGCACATGCCTGGGTTGCGGGCTCCATCCCCACCCAGTGTGGCGTGTGCCAGAGGCAGCCAATCAATGATTCTCTCTCATCATTGATGTTTCTATCTCCTCCCTTCCTCTCTGAAATCAATAAAGAAATATATTTTTTTAAAAAAAGGAAAATCAATAAACGCCATTGCTTTTAACAAAAAAAGTTGTACATCTGAAACTTGTTATTAACCAATGTTACCCCAATAAATAAAATTTAAAAATATATGTAAATATGCCACCTTTGAACTCTATAAGAATGAACACACCACAAATAGAATTTTCTTCCTTGTACTGAGAAAACAGTCCAGATGAGTCAACCAAAAACAGAATGTGAGATTGCTACAGAAGTGGAACAAATAAACTGCCTAAGGCAGGATCAGCTGATTGAGGAAGGAGGCAAAATAGCTTTAAAAAACAAAAGATAGACATCATATTTGCATAAATTCTTATGCACTTAGCAACTCTACTTTAAATCACCAAATGCCTAGACTCATAGGAGAAACATTAGGGAAGTTGTAACTTCTGTACCCGTATTGGCTAAGACTGATAACAAGCAAAACAAGGACACTGAATTCTTCAAAGTTTTCTTATGACGTTTCAACAACAAAAATCTAGAAGTTCCTTCTCCAGAAAAAAGTGACCAGTGTTTTTATTCTTGGGTGCTACAGTGTTGTCTTGGGTTAAACTGAAACCCAAGAACACAAGCTCTGTGTCACCAGCAATGACATCTGAGTTGGTGCTTCATTTTGTTTCCTGCCACAGAAGGCCAATTCTGCAAGAACAGGTATCATTTCTTTACTGCCATCAAGGACAAATTAAGGTAGAAATAGTTTTTCCCAGCCCCCACAAAACCATAAAAGTCCTATACCCGAAATGGTCATCGTAATTAACATAGTGATGTGAATTAAAGTCCTGATGTCCAAGTTTCAGAGTCCTTGGGGGGGAAAAGTCTTCATGTACCTAAATAATATGTGATGTGCAACCTTTCAGTGAAATTAGAACTTGGGTCTGGAGCCTATCAGTAAAACATAATCATTCTTGTAGGGTGGGACGTCTCCACTTTCACAGGTCATGTCTTCCCTGTGAATTTGCAGAGGGGATGGGGTGGGCAGGAGGAGAGAGGGAAGTTGCTTCCCAAACTCCCTGGTAATTCTTTGCATTTCTATCCCAATCCCCTGTCTTATTACAGAAACACACACACACACACACCCCTTCTTTCCTACTCTTTACAGATAGTTACTCCTACCTCCATTCTTCAGGTCAAAAAAAAAAAAATGACAGAACGAAGACAAATCAAAATGTTCAGACACCACCCACACATGTCTCTGATGCACTTCATCTAATGAACCTTCCAGGTTACCCTGTGCCAGATGTGGGAATAAAAAACGAGAGTCCTTAAGGGGCTCACAGTTCAGCAGCAGCGGCCAATGGTACATCTTTTTTTAAAAAAATATATTTTATTGATTTTTTTTTACAGAGAGGAAGGGAGAGGGATAGAGAGCTGAGAGAAACATCGATCAGCTGCCTCCTGCACACTCCCTCCTGGGGATGTGCCCGCAACCAAGGTACCTGACCGGAATCGAACCTGGGACCCTTCGGTCCGCAGGCCGGCGCTCTATATCCACTGAGCCAAACCGGCTAGGGCTCTCCCAACGGTCCATCTGATGACATGGACAGCTCAACACACACTCAAACGCAGAGGACGGGACGGCGTAGGCCAGCCTCGTTCCTGGGATTCCCGGTGCAAGGAGCCCCGCGCCGGCTCCAGAAGCTCCGACCCCTCCCTACTCACCACATCCCGCTCAAACTCCTCAACTTCACGCCGCCCACGGCCTGGCCCCACTCACCTGCTCAGGTTTATTTCTAGCTCCACGGGGCTTCCTTCTGCCAATCCCCCCTTTTTTGGGGGGGGGGAGGTAGGTAGGGCGCGAACCCCATTCCACGACCCACCCCGACTCCTCGGGCGGTCTCCACCCTGAGCAACCTCCACACACCGCTCCCTCCTCCCTCGGTCGCCGGGGCGCATCCCCCCGTTCTCCGAACCCGGCCTTCGCCTCCCCGCCGCCGCCCCCAGCGGCAGGTGGGTCCTTCC